TCAGGACTTTAGTATTTACCAAGTTAACTGAATTGGTATTAAGATTATCAGGTAACGGAGGATGAGATGGGTTGGGCATGTAGCGTACATGATGGAGATGATAAGTGCATACAAAATTTTGGTTGGGAAGCCTGGAGAGAAGAGACATCTTGGAAGACCTAGGTGTAGATGGGAGGATAATATTGAACTGGATTAATCTGGTTCAGTATAGGAACCAGTGACGAAATGTTGTGAAGAGAGTTACACGCTTTCGACTTCCGTAAAAGATAGGGAATTTCTCGTATAATTTAGCGACGATCAGCTTGTGAACAATTCCTCTGCTCCGTGAATTCGGCCAGACTGGAACTCCCTCACGGCGTAGATATAAAATAATACATATATAAACTACTGTGTGAGCTACATTTTGGTTTGCTCGATGATATTGGGTTCGTCTGGTTTTGCACGACTGCGTTCCATTATGAATGGTGGGTTGTTACGTACGGCATGCATGGTCTGTTCTTGACCTGTGACACCGTGATTAATTGAGATTTAATGTGGCGTAATCATATTGCCGTTACTTTCAAACACGTGTTCACCGGACATTATCACACAGAACCTGTCGCCCAAACAATGTGTTCCGGACAATGTGAAATTCAGCTATAATCCTTGACTAAGCTGACCTCCGCCTGCCTGGTTGGTTGGGGTCAGAGGGGGGGGCATACACCTTCCAAAAGCAGTCACTAGCACGACGAAATTTCAATTCTGTCTGCGACGACAGGAAGGCACCAAGTCTTCCTACATTGACGACATATCGGTTCGAAAATCGGCTAGTATACAGTTTGGTGCGAATTAAATTTCATGAAGTTTATTCTTCACAATCGCTTTCTTTAATTTTCTGACAATTTCACAATTCATTAACAACTTCATATCCCATTAGACGTTCTATAAGCTCAGACGTAGATATCTATCCTGGCAAACAACAAAAATAAATATATGTTGATGGCCGTTTTACAGATTGTATCTTCGTGTAGTCTGGTGGAAGTTTACCGACGTTTCAGAGGTCCCTGCTGCTTACATCATCGGGGTGCCGTGATGGTAAAATACTACCAGAGTACACGGCGCTGCAACCCAGAAGACAAGTCAACTTCTGGATAAATTTTAGTCCTCGCGGGAAGTACAAATTTTGCTGGGTCCGACAGACGGAACCAAATTTAATGAGAATAAATTATGTTTATTTGTTAACATCAGACGATTGACGAACTTCAGAATTAATAAGCGCGTTATCCCTATATTTAATTTTTATAATTATTTCTAATCTGCCGTTATTGTATTTTTAACGTTACTTCGTCTCTAACTGCAACTCAGTTTTTATTTTCCAACAAATAAACGAAAAGTGTGTCAGATGGTCCAAGTCACAGAACATTATTAGTACTGTCCGGTATTTAATTTGTCCATAAATTGTGCTTCATTCCAATTGGAAGGGACCGTCCACACGGTCCGTATCCTTTGCTTAACCCTGGATACTTAGGGTCGAAGAGGTGAATCCCATGGGCTACAAAGGTATTGGGGGCGCGAAGGATAATGGTCTTGACACGACAAAAGAATAGCTTTACCTTTCCGTATTTATAGTACAGAATATGTTGAGTTCGACGTACGTCAGAAGCAAATGGGGAAAGGGGATCAGAGGGGTAGCATATATGGAATCTTATACTGTCCATTGCTTCCGGCTACAATACTTCGTAGCTCGCTGTTCTATGTCCTATGTCCCATGTCTCTGGTTTACTTATTAAATGCTCATATTTTTCTTTCATCCACTGCCGAAGGTAAAACGCACGGTTCATTCCCGGCTATTGTGAAAACAGATAGGACAGCCTACAGAGATAGCAAAATTGAAATGGCGGTCAGAGTGAACCCAAAACTTCTGGACCAAACAAATAACTGAGTCTGTACAGTACAGACAGCAGCTTATCTATATAAAGAATGGGCAGAATTTTAAATATAAATTTCGGTACGTAGATACAGGTTGTCCCAAAAGAGATGCGTACACATTATAATACGGAATATTAACCTTGTTATCGAACTAAGAGTGTCGTGTTTACGAGGACAACCTAATGCGACACCACAATATATTTTCACATTATTCTGATATGAAAAATGGAGTCGGGTCATTATTCCAGAAATTGAATGTGTATATATTTTTGGGACAACTGTACGTGGTTGATTTATCTGAGGAGAATCATCTGTTCCATCTCATGTCACTGAGACAAGTTGAGGAAGATCACGCACGCTCGTGGTGATATAACTGATACTCTCGCGATTTTTGTAAGAGGTATGTGGCAGCAAATCCGATTTTATCCGCTTAAAAATAATCCGGTTTTGTTCGCCTCTCTCTCTCTCTCTCTCTCTCTCTCTCAAACATTTATCATGATCACAGGGAAATTTATTGTCTCTACTTATGAGGAGAGAAATGTAAGAAAATGTTAATCTCTTTCGTAAGCCAAATTTAAGACTGATTAGAATTTTATACTTTAAAATATTACTCCTGCTGCAGTTCTTACTTTTATTCAAGTTTTGGTAGAGTCAGTAGATTACGTAAGTCTCCCCAAAGCACGTGACGCAAGATTATGTTCCGTTGTGAAGAGAAAACTAAGACATAATATTACATCTGCATTATAATTACTTCAGTTTTTGTGCTTACAGCGTGGAATATTTTATTTAAAATATTCCTCTGGCTTCTGCATTTAAGGGAAAAGCATTTAAATTACATAAGTCACCAGAATTTACATTGTCAGAATTAAAAAAAAATCTTATTTTAATTATTTATCTTTGTGATCACAAGTTACGTGCCTAATGGTTGTACATAGTTGGTGTCTACCTAAAAGCCAAAAATCCAGAATAGCGTCGATATCATCATAACCGCCATGAGAACCTGAAACCTCACATGCCTCTTACCTTGATTCCGTAGTTCGATTCTTCGTAAATAATTGACACGTAACTCCAACCCATTCGCATGACAATCTCCACCATGGCCTTCACCTGGTAGTGATCAGAAGGGATGGTCCGCGAGAAATACTCGAATCTCTGCTTGTTGCTCAGTTCAGGGCTTGTCGAGAAGAACGATACCTGTAACACGAGAGAATAACAGAACGGTTTAAAGTCTCTGAATAATTCATACACGGAATGAAACTTTACTGCAATTTCTAGATTAATATTAACTCTCAATAGCGTCACGACTCCGATATATCTCTCGGTACTAGAGTACAAAATATTAATGCAACGCGATGTGTAATAAGGCTTGCATAAAAAACAATTCAATTTACGAAGTTTCGAAACATGAAGTACCTGGTACTTCGAATCCGGAAAGGATGTGGAAGGAATTTAAGAAAGGAAGACGCCCTCCGTGTACACAGGAACATGATGATTTACATATATTATTAAAATACTGGGGAAATAAGGAACCTGGGGACAAATTTTTTGAGTACAAAATAGCGTATTATTAATGAAGAATTAGCTTACAAGAGAATAATAAATTGTACTTATGTTGTAGAATTAAAGTGTACAGAAAAATACTTGTATAAAATAACGAGACACGAGAAAATAAAGTCTGTAACATGCAACTGAAAATATGGAAGACGAGATTAATTTAATTTTTGTAGAGAACTCAACTGCATAAATGGCAGATAAAATATGAACTGAGATAAACGAAGCTAAACAGTGCAAAGTATTTCTACTCCGTATTTGGTAGGTTTCGAGTTCTCATACCAGTCCACTGACCTCTTATCGTGACTAAATTTCCGTGCTTTTTCCCCATTACCTTCAGGTAAGTAACAAGATACAAAACCTACCCTACGTCAGATCACATGTTCCTTCGACATCATTTTCAACTCGTTTTTCATAATATATTTTTTTCTCAAAAATATTTTCGAGGAGAATATTTTGACATACAAAGAAGCAACGGACGACTGAACGAGTCTGATCAATGAACTGGAAACGTATTACCCAGGGGAATAATAAAAAATGCATGCAAAATTTAGTCGGAATAACTGAAGAGAAGACCATGTTTGGGAGAAAAAAGGAGCAGATGAAAAATAACATTAAAATGGTCCTTGAAGATTTTAGGTGTGAGGGTCTAAAGTGAATTCACCTGATACAGAACATGAACACTGCGACGGGATCTTCTGAAGAATATGGCAGATCTTTGACCTCCACAAACGTTGTAATTTATTGTATATCAGCGCCGAGTAGTTAGCTAGACGTTTACAAGCGTTTCATATCTTTATCATCAGGACAGAGTCTCTTTAACGTAATAGAGAATTCTCTTTGATTATCACTGCTGTTACCAAACGATAACTAAGGCTAGTTTGTGTTAAATGCAACCGTTGGGCAGGAATTTGTCGGCGTGGGTTTGAATTCCGTCCACAGCTTCATGCATGGAACCACCAACCGAAACTAATACTTGTATCTAAACTCCCACGCTGCCGGTTGCCACAGATTTACTCTCAAGTACAAACAAAAGAGTTGGACTACTAGACCTTGGTAAGCTAATACCACAACGCCAGTACAAAATATCTCCCTTTGATGACGATAGACCTGACGTTGCTGATCACTAATTTACCAGCGAGTGCTCGGATCATGTCTCCGCCTTCAATGAGATCACGTGACAAAGTAGATTCGATTCACGAACTGAATGTCCTAAATTTCAACTACAAAGCCTGTACAGGCAAAATGAAATGCCATTTGAAACTAAATACACAGACGCGTACAAAATGACCTCCCAGAATATTTTACCACTGTATTGTAAACGATAAATCGAAGCACCAAATATAGTGAGGAAGCGGTTACCACTCATGAACCGTATTCAGAAGGTCCCGCCCCGACATACCGATTATAATCAGCTAGAATAATTATTCTAGCTGAGGTTTCAGTAGTTTTCCTCAGTCCCTCCAGACAAATGTCGAGACAGAACCTTTACATAAACCCACTAAAACTTACTTCCGTATTCTTTCAAATTAAATTACATAACACTCTTTGTGTAATTGGTCGCAACAGCCTAAACCACTCGCAGCGTCTTTGAACAAATCACAAACAAAATCAGCGATGTAAGATTTGAGGTTATCATGGCGGTGAGGCTGAAGATTGCTGTCTTCTGGGTTGTTGCGCAATCTTCAAAATCAGCGACGACGGAAAATTAACGTTGAAAACGGATCAGAATAGTAGGAATATTTTTGAATATCGTTAAATATAGATATTTTAGGGCAATAATATGAATGGGGAAAGAAAATACATATCTGTAGTTTTTTGTCGGAAAGGGAGAATGGAAGATGTAACGCGGTAGACCGAGATATAGATGGGACCAAATATCAAAATTGTTGTTAAAGATATATTGTGCAAGGATGTGGACTGGATTCGTCTGGCTAAAGAAAAGAACTGAGGTGGTTCTAATGAAGAAGGCATCTGCTCCGAAGAATTATTGTCTGAAAGTGTTTAAGTATCTAAAGTTTCTTTTATTAAAATGTTGTTTGTCTTTTAAACAAATTTCAAAGATGACATTCAGTTTAATTTTTGGAGAACTCTTTAATTTACGTGAATTCTGTTTACGTGATATTTTGAAGAGAATCAGCCACTTCACAAATTGGGGGTAAAATCTATTATTCCGTAATTTTCTACCTGTCGGGGAGGGTTTCCTATGTTCATATTCAATTAACCCTTCTCGCTGGCATTACCTCTAGGTCTGGCTCTTGACAACACAAGGCGTACGACAGCTTTGCATATGGTCTCTGTCGTATTATCCATTAAACTGTAAGCGCAGGAATGTGTCTATCGCTGTAACGCAATTCTATGTCGTAATTAATGTTGCTGTAATCAGATACAGACTGGGTGTCTCAAAATAAAAGTTACTAATACAGGCCCTAGGAAGTTCACTCTAAAATGTTCACACCTTTCAGATATTTCAATAAGGAATCAATAATAGCTTGTTTCGAGGAAGATTCTACATAAACAAAGATCAAAACACCGACAAATTATTCTTGGTTCGATGTCAAGCGAAGATGATTTGTGTAGCTCGAAAGATACGTGTGACAAGAAAGGTATTAAGACAAACTTTATTCGTTTCGGATTGGAGATTGCATGATCTAAGATCACAAGCCAGAAAAGACTCTTGTGTTGGAGACTCTGTCAAGGTTTTGAGGTTAGGGACATTTTTTCTTTAATATACGTAACTGCCGAGAAGACATTTATGCTACAAACGAACATCTTTCAAACAAAGTGCTATTGATAATAGCGTAACGAGAGATGTTCACGGGTTTAGGGATCGTATTTTTCTACTACATTCAACTGCAAGTCTACGTGTCGAGTGATCACTTGTACGATAAACTTCAGGGCAAGAAAGGTGATAAGAGAAATGTTTCTCCAAACTTTCCACAGTAACAATTCGGGCATTTTTTTATTTAAAAATACAGTCCGTACCGCAAAGAAAACACAACACTTGACCATTAAGAAGACCAATTTCTTAATGTTGTTTGAATAAATAATCATAGTTTAGTCTCTGAGTTATAAAAACATAAAAGTGCATACTTGCAGATTTTCAAAAAGGTGGGACCGCTAGGCCTTAAATATTTAGATTCACTGGCCAGTAGAAAGGGCACAGTTGTGTCAATAAGAATCTTAGTTCCACTTGAGAAAATGAAAATATTTTCTAAAAACGTTTAATAAGTACTTTAGCAAAACGTCTACGTTCAATTTTCGAGCATACGACGCCCCCTAACATTTCAAAGCCTAATTGGAAGCTCGGAAACTGAAAAGGAAACATTAGCACGCTGCTTTAAGTAGTAATGAGTATATCAAGCAATGCGTAATATGGGGCTATGAGAAATTTCGAACACAGGTTTTATTCTACGTGAATTTTCTGTTAACATTCGTTCAGTTCACACGAGTATTTCGTCTGCATCAAGAGAAACTCCTAATTTTTTCATGGTTCTGCGTCTTTGAAAAGAACAAGTTATCATTGGATATAAACAGTGAAGCAAACATCTCCAAAAGAGTTCTTAAGCAAATGCAGGAAACATACGGAAATAAGAATTCTTTGAAAACACGTTTCTGTCCATTGCTTGCTGCTAATGCGTCTTATAACGCTATGGGTTTATGAATTTTTACGTCTGAAATATTTCAAATTTGAAAGCATTTCTAACTCTGACACAGTCTTAAATTTTCTGCAATGTGATGGTTGGTTTGTATTAATTTAAAGAAAAACACAAACCAAAATGTCTGAGAAATTTGCTCTTGGAAACAGACGTACGATTTAAGTAATCATCTTGGTTGGTGTATTACATAATTAAAAAAATACCACGAACTGTGACGTTATGTAACGTGGTTAAGAGAGCGAAATCTATGAAAGTACTATGGGCTGAGCGTGTGGGAAAACAGGAAATTCATTCGGAATTTTGATGAGTAAAACGAAACCTTTAGAAAACGACCACGTGGGAGACTGAGGGTGATAACACGAAGACAGATCATAGGATGGGAGTTACTAAAAAAATTGCCTAGTTTAACTAATACGAGGACAGACAGACAGACACACAGAAAATAATGAATCCATCGAAAAACGAACTTCAGCCTACTATGATGTTCCTTTCCGTCTTTCTATTTTATCCTCTTTTTTCCCACCTGGTTCTCGTTCCACGCACGTGTTTCGACTACCAGCTTTGTCTCTGTACAGTACACACACACCACAAGCAATTCGATTGGGCAGATTGACCTGTAATTGATATCAGATTGAGCCCTGGGATGGAAACCCCATTATCAGACAATAGTGACTAAGGCAAGCAGACATATCCCACTTGGGAGCCGCTTACAGGAATCCACCGCCATATACCACAATGGAACTCGCCTCTCATTCTCTCATTCCAACGCCGAAATCTTTATCAGTGGCGGATTGCATGGCTTTCAACTAAGTCTGATCACATATGAAGGCAATATGTACCAAAGATAGAAGCTACTTTATAATAGTAGGACCTATTTAAAGACTCCAAAAACAAGTAACAGGTTAGAATATCAAGGTCATTAAGAGTTAATCATGTTTCAATTCAACGTTTGATAGTCTGAGCAACTGGCAGCGTCAGACATAAATAATTAGAAATAACGGC